CCCAGAGAGGGACTTTCCCACTGCACCTATATTGCTTTTTCTTTAAAAATACAAAAATATGTTCTGCTAGCTGGGGACCCATATCTGGGCACAAGCACCAAAGCGCACACAGTGGCACCGACTTGGCTTGAAAGTCAAGAGAAATCCAAGATCAAAGAAATCATCCAAACTCCTGAGCAGCACTTTGCCTTTGCACCTCGATATCCACATTTATTACTGTGAAGTAAAGAATTTTACCCACTCACCTGAGGCTTTATCCCCTTTAGTCTGGAAGCATCCTGCCACTGCACGAGTTCCTGGGCCCACGAAAACCATGAGGAAACATTCTGCCCAGAGCCGGAAGAAGTGAAACCGAAATTGGGGCCAGGCGCGGCATGGGAAGCGGGACGAGCGGCCGGGCCGGCTCCGGGACGGGGAGGGGCGGCGGCCCCGACAGCCGCGGGACGGGCGGCCCCGGAGCCCCGCAGCCCCGCAGCCCCTGCCCCCCCACCGCACCCAGCTGCCCGGGGCTGAAAGGTTTCGGAGGTGCCAAAGGTGGAGGTGGCTCAGAGTTGCGCTGCCACTTGTGATGGCTGACAGAAAGCGATTTAAGCGCACAGACGTGTCACAGATGAGCACCAGCAGCATCACGCAATCCTGCTTAAAACTCGATTACAGTTTATTCCTAGCTGTTTCCAGTGTCTCTGAAAATCCTCGTGGACATACCCCGAAAGCAGATACCCTGAACAACAGATTACTGACAGAGGAATATTACTTTTTTAATGTAGAAACAAATAACCAATGGTACCTGCAGAGCCATGTAAAATATTCCTTTTTAAAAGAGAATTTGTTTATGTGAGAGAGTAATATATTTCATTTTTAAGAGGGATAATCAAATATTTTTTATCTTAAAAAATGTTTTTAAAAGTCCAAATAAAAGTTTCAGTTACAGCTTTTCATACTGTCTTTTTCATACTGTTTATGAATTCCTGTGTTCCTGCTTTCCCAAAGGCCTGTCCATCAGTTTTCGTGGAGAGGATTTCCTCTGTATAAGCCTCTGGATGTGACAAGAAGTGCTACTGCTTTGGCTACATTGGCACTGATGAATCCTCTGCAGGGCTCATCCAGCTGTACTTAGGACACACCATCACCTCAGTTTGCCTTACATATTTAAGTAGTTGTGCTGTCCCCTCTTGAGTGAAGACTGGGTAGCTGCAGACTAACACAGGAAAGAATAAATTGGGATCTATTTATTCACTGAAAGTGTTTGAAAGCCTGCAGCAATGTGTTAACTGCCTGCCCATCAGGAGCTCTGGGGAGGGAGGGAGGGAACTTGTGCTGGTTTCTACCCTATATCACATTAAATCTGGGACTATTAAGAGATTTGCTGTGGAGCCCAGGAGGTAGGCTGGGTAACCAAGAGGTTAGGGCCTTTACTTCCAGCTTCTGTTCTCTGAATTCTTTCAGCAACTGCTGAATATAAATTAGTATTTTTTTCTTGGAGTTGAGACACAAACTGAGACCAGAACCAAGTTCCTTTGGAGCTGAAAGGCTCTAAAGCTTCTTTCATTCCCATTTCACAGTTAAACCTTGATAGATTCATAGAATCATAGAATCAACTGGGTTGGAAAAGACCTCTGAGATCATCAAGTCCAACCCTTGATCCAATACTGCCATGGTTATTAGATCATGGCACTAAATGCCACATCCAGTCTCATCTTAAAACCCTCCAGGGATGGTGAATCCACCACCTCCCTGGGCATCCCATTCCAATGCCTCATTACTCCCCACCCGGAGGTGTTTTTAGCCACAGGACAGACATGCTTTCCCTGCCTGCAGAAGTAGGACATGCTGCAGGGGAGTTACTCCTCCAGCAGAAGGCAGCAGCTTTCTGCTCCATACCACACATCCTGTGCCTTTTGCCTAATGCCCACGGATGGTTCTGAGGATCACAGTGCTCTGTGTCAGTGACAACAGGCAGCTGCTGCAGTGACAGAGGAGAAAAGGGAATCTGTGCCCTCACTGCTACCTGCCCCTGCTGTGGGCGCAGCCTTGGCTTCAAAACACTTGGCTGCTCTAAGGGAGGCTTGTAAGTTGAATTAAGTTTATAGGGTACCCAAAAAAGCTTACGTGTGCAGCTATCAAACTACACTTTACTCAAGATGCTGGTTCAAACCACCACCAACTACTCAAATGAATCAAAGCAATTTAAAATCTCAAAGTTGTGAGCCCTGATCTTTCTTAAACCACTGACTCAGAATAATTACTGGAGGAGAACCTTGCCTAGGAGCTGAGAACTGCAGTTTGACTGGCTTAAGAAAAAAGGAGAGTCATACGCAGCAGAGGTATCATTTGTTTCATTCTCAATGTTGTCTGAAGCAGTCCTTTACAAAGCTGGATTTGCTGGTGGTTTTTCTTGCTGACGGCTTAAGCATAGGCAAGGCTGATAATTGGTACAGGATTTTTTGTTTAAGATGGCCATGTTTTGCATGTATTCATATTTCTTTCAGTGTGCCATTCACATACAGGTGTTGGACTTCAATTTCTGTCAGACATGGAGGTAGCAGGTCTCAGTGCTTCCACCAACTTTTGTCTTCAGCTTAACAAATTGCCCTCAGCCATTTCCTGCCTAGACAGCTTTTCCAGATGTTTCAGGTGTCTTTGTTAAAGAAAACTGTTTTTCTCTGCCTCTATAATTTTGTGAAAGGTGACCCCACTTTGGTCTTCAGTTTAAGCCAAATCACTCTTGCTGAGTTCTTGGATTTAGTCACTATGAAGTGTGCATATGATACGAGGCCCTGCCTTTGTAATGGTGTATCAAAACCTGAATGTAAGAACCATAAACTTCCTTATTCATTGCAAACAAAGGTCACATTTTCCTCATGAAACATGATGCAATGAGCACAAGTTTCTCTCTTAAGCAGTTTGCCAAAAGAGTTCACATTAACTTTTCATCTCCACTCTTCCTCATCCTGGCAGTTAATGTTGTATCTTAATCTGAGCTAGCATGAAAAAAACCCAAAAGCAACTGCATAAGCATTGCTGTCAAAGTACCTACAATTGTGCAGGTATCAGATGGTAATGTGTCTTTGAGCCCTATGCTATTTCTTACTCCTTCAGTTCTGGCCTTCTTGTTCCCCTCAAAGTTCTTAATGACAGAATTTCTACACCTTTAAACGTAAAGGCTGGAGACATGTTCTTTGCAAATACACATAAGTGGATATTAAGGTTTTCCAGGCAGGTTCTTGAATGCTCAATGAAGCCATTTTGCTGGGACACCATTTCTTGCTGCATTATTACAGTTTAGTCACTGTAGCTTTTTTTAAGGTGCACAGAAAATGCAACTCTAATGCTAAACCATCACAAGTGAAACATCATTGATAACCTGAGATAGAGAAGACTGTGCATGTCACTAAAACTTCCACTTTACCCTACAGTTGGGATCATCTCCTGAAGACACAAAAATAAGCAGGAGCCTCATACAGGAATGGGCTGTGCCTGTAGTGACTCAGTCCCAAATGTCAAATTCACAGCAAAACACACGTTGCCTACACGTACTGCGGCGCTGAACAGAGACAGTTCCATCAATTACTCTGTTTACTCATCTATTGCACTAGTTAAGAAATTAATTTAATGTCCTATGAAGTTCCAATAATGCTAACAAAAGTAATGCAAAACCATGGATCAAATCCTCACTTCTGTTTGCTTTTTGGACTCACAACAATTTATTTGATACTAAAGGTCCTGTTGCAGTCATCCCTATTTGCCAGATTGAAAGTAAAGCAACCTATTCTCTGACTACTCACGTATTTAATCTAAATTTGTTACATTGCATAGCTGTAGTCTCTATTTCTATCCACTATTCAGATGGAATGCTTTATTACAAGAAGCTCGTAATCCAAGTCCTATCTCCTTGAATGTTAGTGACCAAAGCCCTCCCATTCCATCCCCCATTTCCTTCCCTCCCCACTCCAAGTTATTTTTGTCAAAATTGGATTCAAAACATGAAATAGCACTGAAACTAAGAGCAGCTGTGCAAAAACCTGCAACAGCTCTTTCAGTATAAAATTTCAGTTTCTTCTGTCTCTTCAAGTGTTTTTAATATTGTAGTGTTGGAATAAATGGATGTGGACAACAGAGAGCCCTGCTGTGATATTTGAAATTCTCTCTGTGAAGTTCATTTGATGCTTCAGAATATCCTGTGCTAACACAGAATGTGCACCTTTTTCACCTTATGTCTGTCTTGCCCCCACCTCCCCTCCAATTGAGCATTTTGGTTGGCATTACTGGCCACACCAGGGTGACACCACCGTGACTTTATTCAGACTTCAAGCTCCTGCCACCCACTTTCCTTATTGAGGCTGAAGGTTTTGCTCTAGCAGCTCTGGCCCTCACACAAACCCCTCTACCACATCGAGAAGAAGCTGCTACAGCATCCAGCTCCAGACACTGTGCAAGTGCTGCTTATCAGTGCCTTTTGGTGGGATGAGACACTGAGGAACCTAAACTTAAGTTCTGGAAGGCCCAGATACTCCCCCCTCCCCACTGAGATCTAAAGCAAAAAAGGGTCAGTGAGCTGCACTGCATTTTAATTGCACCAATACAGTTAAATATTAAATGGAGAAAGCAACTCTACATCGCAAATGGAAATCAAGCATTTACATAGTAAAGCTGTAAGATGTAGAGACTATTAAAGTTTTATTCCAGTTGTCTATACATGACTATCCCACTGCAGTTTTTGGTGTTAAAATTTTAAATGTAAAACAAAATTAACATTTTCAGGTTCATATAGAATTAGCAAGTTATTGAGAAACAAACCTTCCTCGCTCATAAGCCAACACTGATGGGGGGGCAGAGCAGGACACTCTGTGTTTTCTCATACCATCACTCCATCTACTAGCATGGGTAGAAGAGAGCAACACTTTTCTGAATACACTTGATTTTCCCCATACACACTTCACAAAGGGGCATATGCTGATATCTGCCAGGACAGTTACCCAAAGGGAGTTAACACTACCAAGTTAAACACTGATCAGCTGGGAAAAGAGTTCACTAGCAAAGCTATTCTCCCACACATGGTCAGTGCCAAGTGGAGAGGACATGTCACTGAAGGGCAACGGGGATCCTTCATACCCAGAGTCATTACAGGCATCCAACAAGTAGTTTGAGGCTTCAAGGCTAGGATGAGAAGAAAGCAAATGAGAAATGCCCAGTTCAGGCATGAAGCTGTCTACAGGTTCTTCCTTCACAGGTGCTGGGACCTCAGGGATAGCCTTGTCTTCAGATGAAGAGAGAGATTCTTTCTCAGTTTTCACTAGCATATTGGTTTGGTTGCTTGCTTCAACAGGAATCTCCAGTATTAGGGGCTTTGTATATACATGATCAAACCTTATCAATTCATTAATGGCCTCCAGCTTAGCTGATGGGGACTCCAAAGGAGGAGAGATGGAGGTTGATATGGAATTCGTTTTTCCGAAGATCTCTTTCTCCAGGTTTTCCAGGCACGTTGACTCTGAATCAGCACATCTGAGAAACATCTCTGGGTCCAGACTGTCCAGAAAGCCCAACAGGAGATCAGGCTCAGAGTTGACACAAATGTGGAAAAGGGTACCTGAGGGCTGGCAGGCAGACTGTGTTCATAAGCATTCTCCCAAACCTCAAAAACAGGAGAATTTGTTTCCATGCACTTCTTTTATATTCCTTTTGTGGAGTTAAAAAAATGTTTGTGAATATAAGCTGTGAACATGACCTGAGCACGTAGCTGGGAACTCCAGACACTGTTTGGGATTTAAGCTACCTGTACACTTCTGATGTGTTGCACTGACTGTAAAGATCAACTGCACCTGCAGAATAAGTCACATTATCAGAGCAGAACAGATCGCATCTGAAAAATTCTGGCCCAATAAGAGCATTTATGAGAGCTCATTTCAGTACAATTAGGTTGCTTTACTTAGCCTAGCCAGGAGGTGAGTTAGAGAACTAAGATTTCAGCTCTAGGATGGATTCCTGTTCAAAACCACCTCTCCTCTCTTTTTTTGTGACAAAGGCAGCCTTTGCAACCCTTTCCTCTGCATGTTCCACTGCTCCAACAAGGATGCATCACTACTCATACCTGTACTGTGTCAGTGCCTTTACTTTCCATCCGGGGAATTCTAATCCCAAAGAGAGAACTGTGGAGCCAGAGAAATGAGAAGTTAGTCACTTTTAAGTTAACCTTTTAGGCAGGGTTAAAAGGTCAAAACATTTCACTCCATTATGTCAACATTTTTTAAAAGAGGTATCTCGATGTTTCATGTTTGCAGTACTGGATTTATGTATATATTTTTTTTCCTATTAAATGTTTTAGCTTTTTTTCATACTGACGTAGTAAAGAAGTTAGGATTTAGGAATTGGATATCCTTGTATTGTGGAAATATTTTTCTACCTCTAAGAACCCCCCCCAAAAGGTGACAGTCTTCTTAAAATCTTGTTCTTTTCCAGCTTTCTCAATTAAGCATGCATATTAAACATTTTTGATGTGCAGTAGTTTCTATTTAACAGCATCTCCCCACAGAATTTAATTGTCTGGTTTCAGAATCACTTCCATTTTTCATGTTCCCCCTTTTTTGGCAAATTTTCATTTATATTTTTATGATATATTTCCAACAGGAAATCTATATCCTAGTGCAGATCATATACAGTGGCTCCCATGCTAAATGGTTTCACTGTGAATGCAGCAAACTTTAATAATAAAGAAGAAATTCCATCATTTGATTTACATTCATGCTTGCAACACAGGTAACAAACACTAGGACAAGCCTACCACTTTTAGGAATATTTTCCCACCAAAGGCTATGCCTTTGATGGCAGTGTAGCCTCTAGCTTCTGAAGATAAGCTGTATTTAAAAGAGCCACTACTGCATTTTATCTTTCCATTTACTAAAATATCTATTCAGTTATACCCAGTATCTTTTTTCATAGATTTTTTTTCCTGAGTATTCACTGTGGCCTCAAAGCCCTAAATGCTCAGATTCACTTGGAACTCACAGAAGGTAAGATGCACAGTAGAGAATAAATATGCAAACACACCTAGATAAACCACCCTTTTTACTTCCCTACCCCAAAGAAATATTTGGCTGTGCTGACAGCTAACTTCAGATGCAAAATTACTTCTTTACAATGGCCCCAGTACATGGCTTGTCCACACCTATTTTCTATTGTCTGTCATAATATGGAAACAGTAGCAATAAGTTATTCTTTAGGTTATTTTTTTCCTCACCAAAATAAATATATTTTCAACCCTACCTGACTTCAGTGGTATGAAAGGAGACACTATCAACTGCCAGGTATTAAAAAGTTTCTAGGGTGTATCACAGCAGCCATATATATAAATTGATGCATCTAATTTCACTTACAAGCTAGCAGTCAAATCATGAACATGCTTTTAAAAGTAGTGAATATTCTTTGTGAGCCTTATGGAAATATCACTGTTTACATGGTGCTAGTGGACTTCAGACAGATGATCTTGCTTCTGTATGTTCTATTAATTGTGCGTGATTTTTGGCAATGCTTTGTTTTATTGTGAAGGATTCAAGGGTAGTTGCACATTGCTCCCAACAAGATTTTTTTTTTTAATTTGTCTTAGATTAGCTACTAAAAGCAACAAAATATGATTTTAGTTATAGTTTTTGGTTTGTTGAGCAGGATAGTCAAAGCAATTGTAACGGTCCTTAGAAAAACAGATGTTTTAAGGGAACAAATATTTGGACAAAGTTTTTGAAGAAGAAATACCAAATCATTTCAACTTTCTAATTAAATTTTGATATCTAGAAGTAGTTTATTTTAGTAATGGTAAATGGGACCTCTATGTTTTAAATGTAACAAATATAATGATGAACTGAATAAATGTATACGACGAAGTAACATGATTCAATGTTCTTAAAATAAAACTTCTACAGGCGTTTAAAATTAAAATTTTTCATTCTGAATCAAAGTGAACACAACAGCTATTTGAATCCAATCAACAGCTCTTTTAGGTCCATTGTCAACAGCACCGTTGTAGCCCATTCTTTGCAAGAGGAACAGAGAAAGTTAGGAAATGGTTCACAGAGAAGAAAAAAAAGAAAGGTCAGTCATAACTGCTAGAAAAACTAACAGGCTTTGACTGTAATCTTGTTAGATTAAAATCTGAGGACAGAATCCCAACACTTGTGCATTAGATTATTACTAAATTCATCTGCAGAGTCTAAGCATCTGTTGCTTTTCTAAGATTAAGATTGTGAAAGCTTTTATCTATAAATAAAGCATGGAACAATATCTTTCAATTCCTTTTCCTAGCCAGAACAAAGGAACAAAAAATAGAGAAGTATGTCTTATTGTAATGGCTAAAAAAATACTAGGTTTAACAGCTGATACGCATTTACAATTCCATTGAATTTGTAAGACAAGTTTTATGTATTGAAAATATGACTGTTTTGAACAGCAATGTATCTACAAAAGCTGAAGTCCAAGAAAACATTTTAAAACCAAATTGTAAAGCACCAGGCCTGAGTCAATGTCTAGAAATTAGAGACTATTACCATTTTTTTCTATATTGCACAAAATGCATTCACTGGGATCAGTTTCTTTTTGCCTACAGCTTAATGCTTTGAGCATACAAAATAAATTTGGAAATATTTGTTTGCAAATACAGATAGGCATTTGCATATAAATATGGTTCCATGCATGGTAATGGCTGTGTTGTTCTCCATTAGCCAATACTGATAAGGGAATTTAATTACCTAATGCCTCAGTAACTTGGCTATAATTTTGATCCAGTGGGGAATTTAACAAAATAACAGCATAACATTCAGACTAATTTGCATTAGGGAAAGTTAAAACTGAAGAACAGTGTTAAGGAAGTATGAGTCACCACTCTGTTTAGCACAACTAAAACAGCATGTCTGTAACATTGGAAACTGATTATCTGTTGGGTTTCCATTTTCTCAAATATTAGGGGATATTTGATGATAATATAAATGGGCAGTGAAGGCAAAAAGAAATCTTCCAGCGTGTTGTGCATCTATGCAAAGAATGGAAAATGAGATATAGAAATTATACACTTAAAATATGGGTCCCTGCTGCAGTAATGAGACTTCATCCCAGGCAGACAGAAACTTAGGAATCATAAGGATCAGGAATCAGAAGAGAGCGTATAATAAAATTCCATCTAAGGTTGATGTTTTGCCCCCTGGGAGGTTCCATTGGGTGGATTCTGACCTAATTTCCCAGAAGTAAGGATTTACCATTCACTGCTAGGAAATATGCAAGATGACAATGAAGGTCACCACAGAGATCTGTCTAATGACTTGTTAATATCCATTTGAAACTTTGTGTTGTGCATCCAATTGCTGATCATTGTTAATTAAAAAAGATATTGAGAGCTAGAAAGATTCTGCAAGAGCTGATATTACATTCTGCAGAGAATCTTGCCAAATAAAACCTGGAAGTGACAGTCCATGTCATTGAGACCTGCTTCCTGCTTTTACAAACTGTTCAAAAGCAATCTAGATCAGAAGAATCCACAGAACATCAGCACAGACCACTATCCCAGACCACGAAACAATGTAATGAACCTAAAACCTGCAGTAAAAATCGAAAAGCAAACAGAATATTACACAGGAAAAGTACAGGAGTGAGAACATTGACGATGGTAGCATCCTGCAATAAGAAAATTTGTTATGGGACTGTCTATAACATGTACAGGGCAAAGAATGGCATCTTTGCCTTAATAATGGTCAATCGAATAAACAAAACCAGTCGGGAATTTATTAATTGCCAAAGATTAAGTCCACAATTATAATTCTGCCATCATATGCATCTGTCTAGCTAATAGCTCCAACTATTTGGACATCCATGAATTTTGGTAAGAAATGAAGTTTCACTGTATCTAAGTAACCTACTTCAGCCCAGCATGCATGGCTATGTCAAGCATAAGGTCTAATTCATATTGGGGAAGTACATATGCTGGGTTCCCTAAAAATTACTTCACCTTGACTTTTCCTTTTAATTCCACCACACGGGTTAGGTGTTGCATGATATTTTTCATACTGGGCTGCTCCTGATAACTCTGGGAAACACTTTGTAAGATGACGATCATCTATCTACATAAACATGACCATAAATCAAATTAATTTCCCTTCAATTGAGGTTCAGCATCTTTAATCTATATACCTAATATCTGTACCTATAGTGAAAACAGTTGTATGTGTATACAGCTAAATGTCTCAAAACAGTTATTTGTATCCCCCAAACTCTAGAACTGCAATTTCTACAGCTTGTAAGAATCTACTTTGGAAGTGATCTTCCTTAAGGTTCTTTGTAAACAGACAGTGGATACTATGTATCTTTTCTGTTTTGAATTCCTTGTGTTAACAGTACTGGAAAAAAACCAAACCTTCAGCTAAAAGCACTGAAACAAAAAACCAAACTTTTCATTTGGAGAAACCATAGGAGGCAGGGAAGACAGTAGATTTGATCCTATATAGTACTACATGGCTAAATACATAAGTAAATACTGAATAGGTTTATTGAAATTCCTTGAGATTTTGAGACTTGAAACTATTTGTCACTGCTTCATTATGGCTAATAGTTGAAATACAAATAAATTGATAAAAAATAATCCAGAATACTTTTTAAACGTTTTTCAATGCATTGTTTAGCAACTGAACTAATAACAGAACGATGAGAAATATTATATTTTAGGTACTTTAATTATAAGAAAATTAGAAGAAGTGCATTAGAGCGCCTTTTCTGTGTGACAGTAAAATCATTTGAAAAGCATAGGGTTGCTATTTGTACTATACCCCCACTCCTCTGTCTCACCCCCCAAGCCCCCCCCTGCCCCTCAAAGAAAGCTGTTTACAACAGGAAATGTCACATTTTATTAGATTTTGAGAAGTGAGCATTGAAGTATCAGGTTAGCAGTTGCACTTGCTCATGAAGCAGTCAAATTTGTCAGTTTTTTGTCCTCTCAAAGAACACCACTAGATGCCAGCAGTAACTTTCTGCAAAATACAAATGAACCGGTTGGTTTCTATTTAGAAATCGGTACATACTCATAAAGGAGCTCATGAAGTCCAAAGGTCCTTATAGGAAACCTGTAACCTAAAGACTGATCCTGCA